AAGGTTTGCAGAACATCAGTTCCAGTGGCAGTGGCAACAGGTCTCATTTCATAAACCGATCAGAGCATACTTAGTTAGAACGTGCCACATTCAGGCCAGGGACCAAATACCACTCACAACAGGCAAAGAGAGCCTCTGTAGATGACTGGGCTGATGGATAAAGGAGCCAGAACAAAGCAGCAAAGCACACATACTCTGGAGACACTCTCAAAATTGCCTGACCCTGAAGAACAAGGGATGCTAGAGAACAGGGCAATATAGGACCTCCTCTTCATAAGGCCATTACCCTCAAAAGCAGCAGACATAGGTGACTTTCCTAACACAGAGAAACAGGCACAGAAACTTAGAAAAAATGAGAAGACAGATAAATTTATCCCAAATGAAAGAAGAGGACAAGGTTATAGCCAGAGATTTAAGTGAAACAGACATAAGTGACATGCCTGATATAGAATTTAAACTAATGATCATAAGGATACTCCCTGGACTTGAGAAAAGAGTGAAAGACATGAGTGAGACTCTTAACACAGAGATAAGGAATAGTGTAGTGGAGATAAAGGGCTCCATAAATAAAATGAGAAACATGCTTGACGGAATTAACAACAGGCTGGAAGAAGCAGAGGAACAAACTAATGACCTAAAAGACAGAGTAATGGCAAGTAATCAAGTTGAACAAAAGAGAGAAAAAGGAATTATGCAAAAGGAGAATAGAGTTAGGGAACTCAATGACTCCCTTAAACGTAATAACGTTCATATTATAGGAGTCTCAGAAGAAGAAGAAGAGAGAGACAAGGGAGCAGAAAATTTATTTGAAGAAATAATAGCTGAAAATTTCCCTTATCTGGGGAAGGAAACAGATATCCAGATCCAGGAGGCACATAGAAGCCCCAACAAATTCAACAAAACAGATCCATACCAAGACATTGTAATCAAACTGGCAAAATATAGTGATAAAGAAAAAAATTTTAAAGTATCAAGACAAAAGAAGACTAACATACAAGGGAAACCCCTAAGGCTAGCAGGGTTTTTTTCTACCTTTGAAACAATGTGACATTTGTGTAGGAATAGACAATCATTCAAGTGGAATAGAAAACAAAATCCAGACATAGACCAAAGAAACATGAAAATTTAGTATTTATAGAGGTGGCATTTAAAAATGATTAAAGTAAAGACCAATTGCTTAACAAATAGTTCTGGGACAACTGATAACCCATTTAGGAAAAACAAAAACAAACAAACAAAAAACTCCAAGTGATCTGCTCAAGTTACTCAGGCTGTATTAATCCCAAAACTATGTTATTTTTTCAGATATCAACTTAAACCTTTTATCACCCAATTAACAAATGCTATCACAGAAGTATAAAACTAGGTGTCATCATTTGGCTCCTAATAGAACTACTTTTACTGAATTATACTTTGACGTTATGACATCAGTCTTAAAGATGGAAATCACACAATACCATGCTGCCCTTCTTTTGAACTATTAAAGTGTTTTTTATACAGAGGAGAAGAGAGTCATATAGTTGAACATGTTTTACTGTTTTGGCCAGTAGGAAGTTCAGACTAAAATTTACAATACAATTAAAAAAAAAATACAGGGCTTTGCGGCTATATTTTGAGAAAAGACAGCTTTTCAATCTCAGCTGAGTTCTTTATTTTTTTTTAAAGATTATTTCTTTATTTATTTATCTGTCAGAGAGAGAGAGAGAGAGCGCACAAGCAGGGGGAGTGGCAGGCAAAGGGAGAAGCAGTCTCCCCACTGAGCAGGGAGCCTGATGTAGGACTCGATCCCAGTACTCTGGGACCATGACCTGAGCCAAAGGCAGACACTTAAAACAACTGAGCCACCCAGGCATCCCGTCAGCTGAGTTCTTAATACCACTCAGTAATTATTTTATAAGTCTTTACTCACTCCCCCACTTACTTCTCACAGATCTCCTCAAGCACCCTCTTTCTGTATGTCCACAGTCCTCTAACTCTTGGGTGTGTCTCCTACATTTAGAGAAAACAAAATCTACTCTATTTCACCTCTTTTAACTTCTTTCTCCCTTTGAAACAAATCTCTATACTTGTGCTATGAAAAACTCACTTATTCTTTTTTTCAAATTATTTGTATTAACATACAATGTATTATTTGCCCCAGGGGTACGGGTCTGTGAATCATCAGGCTTACACATTTCACAGCACTCACCATAGCACACATCCTCCCAATGTCCATAACATGTCTGTAACCCAACCACCCTATCCCCTACCTCCCCACCCCCCCAGCATCCCACAGTTTGTTTTGTGAGTACACAACCCATTTATTCTTGATCTTTCTTGCTTTTTAGAGAAATGTGAATTTCCCCCCAGGAGTTACTTTAGGTCCAACACCTGAAGTTTTTAAAGTGGTTTGTTCTCATCCAGTTCTAAATATTTTCTAATTTCTATTGTGATTTTTTTCCCTTTTCTGTATGTTTTTACATTACCAAAGTTTATTTTACAGCTCTTATATTGTTAATTTAAAGCTTAATTGCACTGTAGTTAGGAAATGTATCCTGCGGGTGAGTGTCCAGGTGTGATATTTTTAAAGCTTGTTGCATATACTCTCACTAAATGATTTCATCTGTTACAATTGTTTCATCTAACAGCTCTATGTGGATGATTATAAACGTTTATCTCTAGTCCTATTCTCTTCCGAGTTTCAGGTCTGTAGTTTTCTATACACTTACAGACTAATTTCTTGTATGTCCAACAGACACTGCAGTCCTAACAAATTTAAAACCAAAGCATTATCTCTACCCACCCCTCTGAGTATCTTCTTCCTTCTCCCTTTTTATTCTCTTTTTAGAATGGTGATCCCACATTCTACCTAACTCTTTAAGCAAGAAACATTAAAATTGTCTCTTATTCTCATCTTACACAAACTAAATGAACTGGAGTGGTTCAAGTGCTGTGAATTATATATCCTAATAATTTCTTGAAGCCGTCCTTTCTTCTCAATTGTAACAGACCTTCATCGTTTATAGCCTGGCCTTGCATTATCCTCTTAAATAGTGTTCAGTTAGCTTTGTCACCTCTCCCTCTCTCCTTCTCTTTTACCATTTCGCTCTTGCTACCACACATGTGTTGAAAACACAAGTCTGATCATTTCGTTCCCTTGCTTAAAAATCTTTGATCACCGCCTACATAAAGTCTCAATTTAACACAACATACAAAACTCCTTATCTGAGAAAATTTATCTACTGTGCAAATAGAAACTTTTCAGGCTTGATATAATATTAAACATAGTATTGTAAATTCTTGGGCCTGCAGCTCTATCGAAAGTCTAATGTTAAGAAGGAGTCGGATACAAGTGTTGCCTCATATACAACTCCCTACACATTATACTTTTATGATTAAAGAAACCCTTAAGATCTTTAGACTAGACCCGTTTTCCAAAACGAATTACGTGAGTACAGCTTACATCTTTGGCCCGATGAAAACATTTAATGTAGGTCAGCAGAAGGAATGGGCACAGCCTGACAAGGCGGAGCTCAGGACCTTGTACTAGCAGTGCAGAAATCAAACACAAGGAGACAATGCTTTGAAAGATGACTGCAAATCATAAAAGCTCAGAGGTAAGAGAGAAGAAAGAAACATCTTTGGAAGACCAAGTAATATTTTAAAACATGGCCCATGCATGCTTTAACCTGGCTTTAGGAAAAAGAAGAAAATGATCCCAACCATACAGATAATTAGGAGGTGACACCATCCTCCCTAGCAGGTATCTTATCTGTAACTAAAGTTACAACAGAACAACCCATGTTCATGATAATAATCCTGAAAGATAATAAAAGATAAATTAGGTTCTGTATCCTCAGCATGTGAAGACAGGTAAAAAGAATTCATTCCAGGAAGGTTTTCATGAAATAATATTAAAAGCATACAGGCCCACAGAAGATATAAACTTATATTAATGTGTTAATTACTACTTTAATTATCGGTTAATAGTTGCTTAAATTACTCAAAACAATATCCTCCTTCCCAGAATGCTGACTTTGATACATTGCCATATTTTATCTCCTACTATGTCCTTATTAATAAAACTAGGTACAATGTTGTTTTTTAGATTTCTGAACTACCAATATCCAATGTGTTTTTAAATGAGACAATAAGAAAGAATAGGTATTTGCTGAAGAAATCAGGGAATCCTGAAAGAGAGATGAAGCTTAAGAAGCAGATTGTATGGTTTACAAGAGAGGGAGAAAGCATCAGTACAGTGCTTTTTCTAGGAATTCTGTCTGCTGCTTTGACACTGCTTATTGTTCTGATTTATTTATTCTGAAACCAAATTCATTTTCTCAACTTTACTGCTGTACCTATGATTCTAAATTAGATGTGTATGTATATTTACATGTGTATGTACATATATTTTTTGGCTTATATTTCTGAACTAGAGTGAGCTTCAGAAGTTTTATTTCCATGTAGTACATATCTTTGACTCAGAAATTATTTTTTAAAAACTCAAATCTTTCACATTAGAAGCTTGCATTCTATGTGAACTTGCAGGAAAAAAAGGAACTCTCTATCAGGTACTCAGCCAAAGTCAAATTTCAAAGAATAAACAAGCAAATTTGACATATATACTATAGACCTAATTGTATTTATTCTAGAATATGAGATCCAAATGATATATGCATATAGCAAACATTGGAAGCATTTTGTATTAAAAATTCAGTGGAGTTTATCCTGAAATTTGATTTCATGCCCCAAGTATGTGTTATTAAGAGTTGTGCCGAATAAATTAAGTCAGCTGTGATCTAATCAGGACTACAATGTGGCTAATACATTTCTGTTGCCTTGGGATCACTGTCGCATACCTTTTGATACAGTAGAAAAAAGATTTTAGTTCAAACTATTTACAAAGATGTGAACTTTAACGAGAATCTTTCTTAAGCCTGTTATGTAAAAACATGTTTTACAATCAAGTTTAATTTTTATGACTTTGTTTTTAATTTATTATTTTCCCACCAACATTTTACCTCTGGTCCTGGAGGTCCACATGGTCCTTGGGGTCCTGGGTCACCGATCTGGCCCTAAGATGGGGGTGGGGGATCAAAGTAGAAGTATGAATCTGTTATATACAATTTAAAACAGACATATGGTAAGCAAACAGAACTCAATGTATTATGCTACATAAAATTTTAATGACTTTTCAGCAAACAACACTGAATATATTATGTCAAACAAAGTTGTAACAACCATTCAGAAAGACTTAATTTGGGGCACCTGGGTGGCTCAGTGGGTTAAGCCTCTGCCTTCGGCTCAGGTCATGATCTCAGGGTTCTGGGATCGAGCCCCGCATCAGGCTCTCTGCTCGGCAGGGAGCCTGCTTCCTCCTCTCTCTCTGCCTGCCTCTCTGCCTACTTGTGATCTATATCTGTCAAATAAATAAATAAAATCTTTAAAAAAAAAAAAAAAAGACCATCATCTTTTAACCATCATCACTGTGGAAAACTTATTTAAATAAAAGGTGTATGGATGTAATATATATTTACTCCTAAGTGCTGGAGATACATACAAACTGAGTTAAGTGTTCAAATAAAAAAAAAAATAGTGTGTGAATGTGTAGGTTATCCAGAGATAAGGAGCTCGACTTAACAAGGTAGGGGACTCTAGATAAGGACTTGGTTTCATAAACAACCAGAGTCCAGGACAGTCCCTGAAAATTCCTCTCTCCTTTGATACTACAAGGACCTGATTTAGTAATTAAGAATCATCTGGATTTAAATCCCTGCTGCTTAATCTCTCTTAGGCTGAGTTTTCTTAACAATAAAATAGGAATAAAAATGCTAACAGGTACTAACATTGTTACAGGCTAATTGTGAGGATTAAAAGAGACAATATATTTAAGGTGCTAGGTTTAGCACAGTGCCTGGCAATAAATGGTAACCAATTTTATAACCATTAACCTTTTCCTTTATATCCTCTGTCCTCTCCTGGGTGCCTATAATTCCTAGATTATTTAGATCATTATTATATTAAAAATTTGAGGATTTGTTGTCAATATTTCTGAAGCCATCTTCTGACATCTGGATTAACCAGGCAAAGTCGGGGCTGGAGAGCAAGTTCAGAGGAGAGAAAAGTGGTTATAAACCCTGAAACTAGAGATGAAAGGAGGCAGTAATTTAATACCTTTGTTTTCACCAGAAAAGCTGCTGAATTCATTATTTCTGCCATATTAAATTTCTATGTGAGTTTCAAATTTGACCTAATAGTTCTCAGATTACATAAAATTACAAGAAATAATATGTGCTTATCCACATTTCAAGAAGTAAAGCACAGTTTTCCATAAGCACTAACGCCATTCTCATACAGCGCTTAAATATCTGGATATAAAACAATGCACAATCAAATCTAGAGAAAAGTAATGAAGTATTACATAAAACTTGACTGCTCCTATATAAAGTCAAAATTCATCATAATCAGTACCTAGAGGAGCCTTGAATTCTTAAAATGGCAAGTACCTCTCTTAGAGAGATAAAGATGCGGCTCTCACTGGAGACCTCTGGTGGCAAAAAACAAATGAGAGGCTAAATTCACAAGCTTTGAGGAAAAAACAGCATCCTCTAGGTGTTTGTTTCTGGAAAAGTTAATTGACAACCAGATATCTGTAAACACAAATTTTGAAAAATTTCATTCTTCAGAATAAATCTTCATTTTAAAAAACTTTAACTGGAAGTTTCCTTGAATGTCAAGTCTCCTTTAAAAAAACTCAGTTTTCAAGTAAGTTTTAGACAATGGAGTAAGGATCGAGTAAACCTCTCTAATTGACAACTTCTAGTTAAAAATATGGAAAGGCATAATAATTGTCTTTGTTTTCTTTGTTTTAAGGAAATAATATTAATTAACAACTTCTGATTGGTAATTGTCTCTGGTTTTTAGATGCTTCCAGAGCCAAAGATTCCCTAATTCCAAAATGTAGAAAGCCTTCCAAATCGGGACATTCTTTCTTTTACCTTATAGGTATTCTTTCATGTTACAACTTAGATTCATTTGGGGGGGAAAAAAAATCACTAATGCCAGCATCTTAGAAAACAGAAAGCCAAAAGTAGGAGATATAAAATAAGAGAGATATCTTTATGACTTTGATATTCTTTTCATGATAGTAAACAAATGATTTAGAGAGGCACTAACTTGTATAATTTCTTTTTAATATAACAGATTCAATGCAAGCAATTTTTCATTAAACAGGTGTCTCCTTCCAAAACTAGGGAAGGTTTCTTGATCAAACTTTTATAATTTTTTTCTATTAGTAAGATACAAAAAGTGAGAGACTACAGACTCTTCACAAATACTAATTCATATATCTCTAGCCTGTCTACAGTCTGATGTATATATTTTTCAAAGATTTGACAAAACAAACAAAAGATGGTAAACTATCTCCTACCAAAGTATTCCCTGCTGACATTAAAAATGTGTTTCTTATTAGAAAAACAAAGAAAGGGACAAAATGAGCAAGTAAAAGCCTCACTCTTATCATCTTAATGCTCCCTGCATCACAGCCTTAAAAAGTATTAGAATTGGTTCTGGTGATTTATTTCAAGAAAAAAATAATATTAAGGGTTTTAAGACAATGTGTTAAAGGCGAAACAGGCTCTCTACCTTTTCTTTAGCTTAGACTAGAGAATTACTGGTAAACATTGTCACTGAGAGAAAACCAAAGAGTCACAGATTTACAAAGAACCTTAAATATGATGTAGTGAGACTCTCAGTTTAAACAAGTAACTGGATGTCACAGTGGTTAAATACTCAAGGTCATAGCAAGTCAGTGTCAGGGCTGGGACTAAAATCTAATCCTGTTTCTCAGAGAAGTATATCCCCTCTGCCCCACAATAAACATGTTATCAGTACAAACTGTATCAAAAAGTAAGGGAGACATTAAAAAGATTCACTTTGTATAAGCATGATATTTGACTTAAGTTTTATCCAGTAATTAATTGTAAAGCATTATAGAATAATATTGATATGATTTATCACTCAGTATTGGCCTTAGAAAATGTGTTGTACCTGCTCCTTTTATTATTGTTGAAAGTCAGAAAACCCTCACATTATGAACAATTAGGATGTAAGAAGTTTAGAGTCTTACTTTGCTAGCCACTGCAGATATTGTAAGTTGCTGTTATGTGATTAGACTCATCCTTGAAAAACAGAAGCTTTTTGTTAGCTTCATGACCTATTTTCATGACTTTTATTTATACAGTTTGGAATTTCTGAGATTCAACTGCAGAGCCCAAGTCTGGGTACATGACTGACCAGGTTTACTCCAAGTCCAGGGCAAAAAACTAGTTAAGAGTGAAGCTTACCACCAGCATGTCACTTGACAAAAAGACACTGAAAATTTTCCTTTGGAATAAATACTTTCTGAGAGATGTATATGAAATGCCATCAATGTTAGAAGTTATACTGAATGAGGTATGAAAAGTGCTATGTCTTAATGCTGCTTCCTCTGACCAAAAATAAACACGCCTGAGATAGGAGGAGAGAGTTAGAGGAAACACAATGACTTGCTCAGAGAACAACTCTTTTTAAAATGTAGATTTTAATGTTATATTAATAAATTATAATTTCCATCTATTTTTCTATCTATAATTACCTGCACCTTCATAGAGTTGTAATCAATATCAGAAATCCCAGAGCAATCTTAAAATATTAAATCCTAAAACAGTATGGCACAGTGGCTGAGTATGTGAGCTCTGACATATGATTACCTAGATTTTCCCAGATGGCCAACAACTAACTATGGAAACATGGACAAGTTATTTAACTCTGTGTCTCAGTTTCTCCAATCTGTAAAATAAGAACAATAATAGTACCAGCTTCATATGATTTTTGTAAAGACTAAATTAGAAGTATAGACTTAGAATAGTAACTGGTACTTTGTAAACACTCAGTACATCTTAGCTATAATAATCATGACTTTTAATGTAGAGAGACATACTTAACTCATGTTTTAACCATTATTTAAATGATTTTAATTACTCGGTAATTTCAGTTTGAGTTAGGTTTCATGTTAACTACAATATAAGGTATTCTTTTTTTTTTTTTTTCAATTAACAGATGCCCAAAGGTTAAAAAAAAAAAAAGACAAAGAATTAGTATATTTGTGCCCACGGGGTGTGACATGCTATCTTTTCTTCACAATATTTCTTTAATGAAATATATTAGAATGAAAGATATTTGGAAAAAATAAAACATTATTTAAGGTGCTTTTTATTTTCTGTCTTAAATATCTATCGTTTACTTCATAATAGTATTATTATGAATAACAATAGTTATGAATAATATTATTCATAACAGATCAAACAAAATCTTTAGGGACCACAGAAGTTTGGTTTTGGCCTGGGATGAGGGGGAGGGCAGGAAGAACAAGGTCCAATACTCTACGGAATGTGAGCTGAAAAGCTGAAAACTTGAAGGATTAGCTGTACCCTAAAACTGAGGAGAAAAAAATGCCAGATTGGTAACCCTAGCTCCTACTTACATTCCACTAATACCAACAAGTGTCAAGACTCATGCCATGATGTACACTTTGTTAATGGGAAAAAGCAAAGGAAAAGTTCAAACCTACTGAAGGTCCTGGCTTTCCTCTCATCCCTGGTGGTCCTGGAACACCAACAGCACCCTACAGAAGAGAATAATAGAGAGAAGATGAAAGTTATTATACCACAAGAGACAGCTATGCCTCTGTATACAAACTGCTTAAAAAATTCATGGAGTGAATCCAAAAACTGAGAAAACCATTTCAAACAAAACGTGTAAAACCATATTGATACCGCATCCTAACTAAGTACATGGTTAAAATAATCATTACTCCTTTTTTCTTTTTAAGAATTTATACTTTTTCACTGAATTTTTCATATTTATATAAACTTAATGGTAAAAAAAAAAAGTTACCTTGTCTCCAGGATACCCTAATTCTCCTGGCTCCCCTGTAATGCCTTGTTCACCCTAGAGGGCACATTTAATACAAAGACACTTAAGCAACACAAACATGGCAATATTATAAGACAGTAAATATTTATTATAGAAGAATAATTTCTATTTTTCCTACTTCTGATAAAAATTGTAAAACTGACAATACAGATTAGATCCCATATATAAAAACAAGATATTTTATAAGTATTGACTAACAAGAAAAAAATATGATAAGAAATTATCTCTATGATAATGCAAATATTTAAATCACCTTATCACCTTTGATTCCAGGTAGGCCCTTATTCCCGGAAAGACCCTAAAAAAAAAAGTGATATTTTGTGACATCATAGAGAAATTAAAGGAAAATATCCATTATGCAAATAGAGACATACCATTGGGCCAGGATTTCCAGAAGGTCCAACTGGTCCAATAGGGCCAATACTGCCCTGAAAAGTAATTAGACAGAAAGGTATCATTAAGCATCCACTAGGATTAGAAAGAGAATATGGTAAAATTAATTAATTAACTAACCCAGAACAGTTCATCTCACTCAGCTCCCACATGCGTCTTGTTCTTCCACAACTTCTTTTTCTCTCCACATTTAGAAATCATACCAATGTTTGAAACTTTAGCGAGGTCATCCTACTCCCTAAAGCCTCTTCATACCCGTGTAGTCCACAAGGATCCTCCCTTTCCTCTAGTCTGTATAATGCTTAACTCTCCTTGACATTCATCTTGAAATACGTCTCTAACTAGATAATATCTTGAAGAGCAGGGAAATATTTTAGTGCCACATTCCCAGGAGGTAGTTAATAAATACTTCATTTGATCATCTTCTATTTTTAACTCCATCCATTTATTCAGGAATTATTCATTGGGCACTTACTATGTTCCAGGCGTTTTAGTGATTTTATTTCATGATTTGAAATTTGCAGAATGATAAAGTTTATCATAATTTCAGGGATAAACTGAGAACTGAACAAAAGACTCTACTCTTCTGGGCTTCTGTCATTCATTCATCATTTAACATTTGTTGAACATAACATCGACATAGACACTGTAGTTGTGTGGAGGAAATAAAGATGAAAAAGACACAGTCACCAACATTGAGGTTCTCAGTTTAAAGCTCCAACGCAAGATTCCTCAAAAATATAACAATCATCTCCTGTAAGCAAGCGATTTAAAAAAACTCCTCAAATATAACATAAAATAGAAGACAAAGGACAGGGGCGCCTGGGTGGCTCAGTGGGTTAAAGCCTCTGCCTTCAGCTCAGGTCATGATCCCAGGGTCCTAGGATTGAGCCCCGTATCGGGATCTCTGCTCAGTGGGGAACCTGCTTCCTCCTCTCTCTCTGCCTGCCTCTCTGCCTACTTGTGATCTCTGCCTGTCAAATAAATAAATAAATAAAATCTTAAAAAAAAAAAAAAAAAAAAAAAGAAGAAGAAGACAAAGGCCAAGAGCCACAATAAGGGTATTTCAAAGTAAGATTTGAAAAAAAAGAAAAAAAAAAGGTTTGGCGATCACTTATAATTTTTGTGTCGCTGACACATTCATTTTCCTTCCTTTTCTTGCTACTTCTCTGTGCCTAGCTTCTGTTATCATCCTTCATCTTCACAGAACAAATTGCCTTACACTTCCCTTTTATGGTTTTCAAACATTAAGGAAATTCTAAGTGTGTATTTGTGGCAATGCTAGAAATGTTGCCCCTTTTACTAAATTTCTTAGGAAAGCATCCCAGGCCCTCACTACTAGGTTTGCACCAACCCTTCCCGTCTTGTCTACTTCCATTTGTTGCTACTCCTCCTTTATTTCTTCCTTGTCCAAATCCCACATTCTAGCCACAGTGGACGGTTTTCCATTCTCTGAACATGGTCTCTCTTTATTACATGCTCCAAGCCTTTGAAGATATAGTTACCAATACTGAAATGGCTTTCTGCTGCACTAGTGAGTATACTGTACCATACTTTTCTCCTTGTGTTCCTAGTCTGCACATTCTGTGAAAGTAGAAGCATGTTTATTGATTTTTACTTCCCAGACCCAACATAGTACTTTGCACATAATAGTTCTGAACTAAAGTATGGAATGAACACTGAAGGACCTGTCAGAATAGCCAAACCCAAAAAGACAAGAAATAGCAAGTGCTGGTGGGGATGTGGAGAAAAAGAAACCCTTGTTTCACCTTGGTGGAAATGCAAATTGGTGGAGGCACTGCGGAAACCAATATGGACATTCTTCAGAAAATTCCATATGACCCAGTAATTCCACTACTGGCATTTACCCAAAGAAAAGAAAAACACTAATTCAAAAAGATACATGGATCCTGTGTTTATTGCAGTATTTCTTACAACAGCCAAGATATGGAAGCAACTCGAATGTCCACCCATAGACAAATGGATGAAGAAGATGTGGTGTACACACACACACACACACACACACACACACAGGAATATTACTCAGCCATAAAAAAGACTGATATCTTGCCACTTGTAACAACATGGATGGACCTAGAGGCGAAAATGTTAAGTAAAATAAACAGAGAAAGACAAACCGTATGATTTCACTCATATGTGCAATTTAAAAAAATAAATGAACAAAAAAAAGACAAACAAAAAGACAGAGAACTGGTGGTTGCTAAAGTGAGATGGCTGAAATAGAAAAACAGAATTAAGAGTGCACTTACTGTAATGAACACTGATTAATGTACAGAGTTACTGAATGGTTATACTGTACACTTGTAACTAATATAACACCGTATGTTAAATATACTTTAGTAAAAAACATTTTTTTTAACAGTGATTTCAAGAGCTCCATCTCCCAACATAACAGAGCATTGCTAACAGACTGCATTCATATTACACAAATTTCAGAATGGAAAATATGACATCTTTTGTATGAGTCCTAAAGTCTGTGAAATATAATGGAGATAAATTATTTCCAACATGTTTAATCCTGAAATATATGAGAAAGGGAAAGAGTAATACTTTCCAACTTAATAGACAGATATACAATATTCATATGTCACTGACAAATTCTGTCAGTAGGAAACAACTGTTCTTATAATTACAGTGGCTGGTTTATTCAAAGTTCCTGGCTTTAAAAATAATGAGAGTTTTAAAAAATACAAAAAACGTTTCTGTTTGGAAATTATGCAGCAATAATCTATGAAGTATGGGGGGAAATCTTATAAACAAATAAACAAACATTTCTTTGTCATTCTGTTGGTTTTTCCTATGGGCAATAACATTAACTGTATTTCAATAAACATATCACTGTGCATAGACTAATATTTTCAGATGAATGTACTTTGTATGCACAATCTACTGTTTTACTTTCTAGTGACTCTAAAAAAATTATCACAAAATAGTAAGTGTTGAGAAATATTAAAGATACAAAAAATTATAGTAAAGATAAAAAAGATTTAGTATTATAGGGAACTAAAAAGTAAAATAATACGGGTATAGAAAGCTCCAAGAAATAGCAAACATTTTGTGGTATGTTACAAATGGTGTGGAAAATCCTAGTCCTGAAAAACTAGCTTTCTCGAAGCAACCCGCAATAGGTGAAGAGCAGTTTTTAGTTCCACAAGGATAACCTGAAAGCCTTCAGCACTCTCTGCTTACCATACTCCTCTTCCATGAGAAGACAGAGCAGACAGGAGAAATACTTCCATGCATGGCAGCTTAGCTGAGGGTATCTGGGATACAGCGCCAAAGGCAGAAAAGCCTCCCACACATCCAGAAATAATAAAGAACTTTCGAGTCAAAATGAGTTAAAGAAACAGAGACCCAAGAATAGGTTCTTCATATAAAATGAGCAGCCGCTAGCCAATTAGAGCTCATGAGTGAGCACACTGTAGAGAAGACTTGGGGCTCCTCTTCAGGCTTTGCAACCGCACCCACCCACCCTCACAGGTGATAATCACTATCACTAATTAAGAAAGCAAATGACAATCAGCTGCAAGGAAAAAATCATTTAGAGGAAGCTATGTCATCTCTTCTCAGAAACTATGCTTCCTATAAGGAGACAAGCAGATGTGTGCTTGCTGATAAACTGGGCAAGCAGACAAAGTGTTGGCTATGAAATATAAAGGTTCTATATAAACCTTTTCCCAGTTATCTTCAAATCTTCCCCTCCTTCCATTCTACTCCCATCCCCCCACACTTCCTAGGCTATAGTCCCACTACTCCTCTTTCCATTGCCCAAACCGCACTTTTTTTTTTTTTTTTTACCTCTTCTGTGCATTTAGAGAGGCATTCTTCTGCCTCAAGAGTCCTTTTCCTGACTACTCCACTCCATTCATGTATAATCTTCAAGATATGGTTAAAACATGTCTCTTTTATGAAGCCTCCTCTCTCAGGATGACATAAATTGCTCCTTTCTCCGTGGTTTTTAGTCCATGAGAACAGTGATCACATCATATGATATACTGATTTTTCCTTCTATGCCCTGGATTATAATGTTGCCCAAAACAGAAATCTTGTTTGTATTTTTAGGCCTAGCTCTAGTTCAGCATTTGATACACAGTAGGTGCTCACACTGTTTTGATTTAAAAATTTAGTAAATGTGTAAAATGGAGGTTGAAATACCTGTTCTATCGACTTGAGGAACAAATGAGATACGAGTGTGAAAGTACTTTGGATAGTATAAAGTACTATCTATATCAATGTAGAGATGAGGATTACAAAGATGACTGTTAGTATCATTTGGCATTTTCTTCTCTCTTTAGAATCTCTTCTTTCTTTTTAGAATCTCTTCCCAGCAACCAAAGGGTATATTGAGAAAGAGAAAGGACAACAAACAACAACAAAAACCCAGTTATTTTTGCCAACACTATTATGTGTTGGAACTGTGCAAAGTCCTGGAGTAGAAAATGAGTAAGGGTTAACTATTAGACAGAGAAATACAGGTAAAGTATTTCAGGTAGACAAACAAGTGAAAGTGCAAAGGCCTTTTGGTAGGAAGGTTGCATGACATCTGAGAACAGTTTGCTAGTGCACAAAGTATGTCTCAAGATGCCCATGACAACCACAACAGTCTAGACATGCTAAGTATTTTGGTCTTAAACTTGAGCATAATGGCAGAAGCTGCTGAGTTAACCAACTGATAGGTGAAATGAAGAACACATAAAGACTGAACTCCCTTCTCCAGCTTCCTTTCCTCCCCATCGGTAAAACCATGGACTACCACCTACAGTTTAATCCTACTCTAAGTTCTGAGAAAAAAAAAAAAAAAAAAAAAAAAAAAAAAAAAAGGTCCTTTGGCTTCCACCTTCACACAGAGCTTCTTGTGAAGCCTAAAGAAATCTCATGAGTTAAATGGTACACATTATAAGGTAATATGAGTTTTAAGGAGGTGATATAGCACACAGGTAGAATTATGGCCTCTGGTTTGATTGCCTGCTTCAAATTTGGGCCTAATACTCATAAAGTGAGTGGTCTTGGCTTGTTCTGAGAATTAAATGACCTAGCACTGACTAGGCACATGGAAAATGCTAAATAAAAGTGAGCTGTTATTGGGGTGTCTGGGTGGCTCAGTAGGTTAAGCATCTGACTCTTAGTTTGGGCTCAGGTCATGATCTTAGGGTTCTGAGATCAAGCCCCACATTGAGCCTAGCACCTCAGCAGGGAGTCTGCTTGAGCTTCTCTTCCTCTGTCCCTTCCCCATGCTCGCTCTCTCTCTCTCCCTAAAAAATAAGTAAATCTTTTTTTTTTAAGTGAGTTGTTATTGCTCATTTTATTATTAGTATACTACTATTATCACGTAAAAGAAAAGTTAAATGTGTAAGACTCACTCAGGTGCTCTGACTCTTAATTCTATACTCTTGCCAGCCCCGAATGGCAAGTTAAAACTTGTTATACTGATTTTAAACCATAGTTCCAATAATTGAACTCCTGATGTATTCTGTTGGTCAAGTTGTCACCTTTTGCCTTGGGGCGGTTAAGGTGGAGGAAAAACATTAAATTTAGACTCAAAAGACCTGTGTTCAAGTTCAAGCTACAAATAATTGTGGCTGTAATTTATGACATAAAACTCTGGAGTCTTAATTACCTATTTCATATGTTAGAAGCAAGCTCTAAATTGATTTTTAAGGAAAATCTTACCTCTGCCCATGGTCACTTACCTATTTTTATACAGATATATATAGTTTCCTTCTAAGATTCTACTTTCATTAGGCTCCTTACATTTCATAAAAGTATGAATCTTGCTTTTAGTTCTGCTGTTAAAGCACATGGTTCTAAATTTATAGAAAATATCTGCAACTTACATCCCTGTCATGAACCATAAGCTTGACTGAGAGAAATATATTTATGGAGATATGGCAGAAGTAGCAGTCTGTTTGCTTCAAGGAACAGTCTAAAATTTATCAGGTAACTATGTAACTGGAGTACATTATTTTGGTCTCCACAGAATTGCTTCGCTAAATTGTACTTTGCCTACACCAAAACTCCAGTGAAACTCAGAGTTAAATTCACTGAATAAAAATGATTTAGTGAGCAAATAATACAGTCACTTATATTTTTAGTATAATAAATTAGGTATTAAAATGTTTAGCATCAGGGCACCTGGATACCTCAGTGAGCTTGGCATCTGTCTTCAGCTCAGGTCATGATCTCGAAGTCCTAGGATTGAGCCCCATGTTGTCAGGCTCCCCGCTCAGTAGGGGGTCTGCTACTTCCTTCTTCCTCTCCCTCTGCCCTTCCCCACTGCTCAAGCACACTCTATTTCAAATAAATTTTTAAAAAATCTTTAAAAAATGTTTAGCAGCATTAATGAAGTGCAACTACTACTGATTGTTCAGGATGTTTCCCAACTATTTATTCAATTTTATTCAGAAATAAAATCTACAGTTACCATGTGCTATAATATGGTATGGTATGGTATTCAGACCTATCTGTATCTATCCAGGCCTGATGCTATGAAAGAAAATTCAAAGGAGAGAAGTGGCTGTTCTGTGTCACACTTTTGAAGAAACAGAGTCTTAGGTATCTATTAATGAGACAGACATAAATAAATCTGTAGAAATTTGTCATTTTAGATTACCATAAAGTTTAATTTTTGATTCGTATTCCTGGTCTAATTTGTATATCTGGTGGGAAAATACATTTGAGCAAGTCTGATATCCAACAATGACACTAAAACATCTCATTTTTCTAAAGATTTTAAAATGCGGTTAACAAATATAAACACCATTTTATAAGAATGATAATACTTGATACTCACTCTAAGCCCAGGAAATCCCGGAGGACCAATGCTACCTACAAGTCCCTATGTAAAAGAAAGTACAAGGGTGGTTAAATACAATTGCAAACTACTATGGGCATTTTCTAAAGACACAGACAAACATTTCTAGAAAAAAAAATATGTCAAATTTTACCCCCATGCATCTTCCTAAGAAGCATAAATCTCTGGTGGTAGTGTAAGTTCTCCCAAAATGCCCTTGGCCCCATGCTTTTGGATGCCAGGACTACCACCTAGCCTAGGATATAGACTGTTCTGTGTCTTTTATGTATCTAATAAAGGAAGTAAATCCTGTAAGTAGTCAGCATTATAGACATAACCAACCTATGTATTATGTAAAAAGATAAGTTGTCAGCATATAGAGTTAGAAGAGCATTTTCAGATGGTTTAAAACACTACCCACTCTTGAAGTATAATATTTAAATTCTTTAAAACTTCAGTTTTTTTATTTAAAGAATAGAAACAATGACATTTGGGGGTGCCTGAGTGGCTCAGTCAGTTAAAGTATCTAATTTTTGGTCTCAGCTCAGGTCTTGATCTCAGGGTCTTGAGTTCAAGCCCCATGATGGGCTCCACAGTAGGCATGAAGCCTACTTAAAAAAATAAAGGAATAATAACATTTGTTCTCACTATTATAAGATCACAATGAAAACTGTCATAATGCATAAAAGGTTTTGAAAAATTTCTCACAAATATAATAAATTACCAACACCATTAATTATGTATATAATAAATGAAATTTTAAATTATCAATATTAATTTTTCCAGTTGATTTGTGGTCTTGTGAACCCATCATTATAGTCTTTATGATAATTTCTAATTTAGTCCAAGGCAGTGTTAGAAAGTGAAAAGTACCCCTCCCTTTTTTTGTATCTGAAGTTGTTTTGAAAATAAGGTACAGTAAAATATAGAGAGAGTTATAAGCCAATAAACTAAAATATCCAGTTTATCCTTGTATTTTAAAGATATTAAAGCCTGAAAATGCTCTTCAAGAAGCATTACATTTAAATAAAGAGCAGATTTCAAAAAGAAATATCTTAAATATGATAGAAGCCCAACCCTAACAAACTTCATGTATATTTAACTGACAAAAATTTAAATAAGATGGCTTCACAGTAGTTACACAAGTACATAAATGGTATTAAAAGAAAAAATAAATAATGCTTTCTTACCCTTGAAATGAAAAGCTCCACAGAATCAAAGGCAAGAAAACTATGGTAAACATTCTATTTAAAACATCATTCAGGTTTTTAACAATTTATTTGGAATCAGTTCTATTCTTATCTGCCAAGACTTACAACAAATAAAACTTGGGCTAAATTAACTGAATAACTGATAAAGTCATAATTTAGAAAACTAAATAAAAAATAAATGATTTTCAAATACTTTAAATATAAATGCTAGTAATTCACCTGTATCTAAATATAAGAACTATTCCTAATTTAGGCTAAAAGGATTTAGTGATTAACTCTAATTCACCTTAAAATCTTATTAAAAGAATGTGTGCATGGAATAGATTGGAGGGATTTGATAGATGCTCTTTGAGAGAAAAAAAAAATTGAAGATTTTTCTACCTAATGTCAAAAAAACCAACAATCTATTATCATTGTTTGATAATATAATTAAACTAATTATAGAATAGTAACTTTCTAAATTGCAAATAATAGCTGAATAATCCTAAAGGAGAAGATTTCTCTAGAAATCAATACCCAAAAGCCAGGTAGATCAATGACAGGCTTGAGACAAAAAGGGCAATCACTGCGAGCACAATATTTACATGAGGCTTGTTAGTACCTTCATGTATATGAAAGGCTCACCCCAAAAATATACAAGTCAGTATCATGACCATGTAATTCTAATATTTTACTTAAGCAGGTACATTTAACATGGTCACAATGATTCGTTTTAATGATTCTCTCTCAAGACAGAATATATTCATAACATTTTTGTCTTTATAAATAGGAATGTGCACAGAGGTATCAAAACTGTCTGGCCAACAGCACTTATTTGAATGTCACGAGGATGGCAAGTGCAGGTGCTGTGGCGTCTGAGTGATGTCAGATCACAAGGCTGGACCATAACAATATACTCACAGGACTGCCATCAGGGCCAGCAGGGCCTCTGTCTCCAAAGTCACCTGGAAAACCCTGGCCCAGGGAAAAATGAAGAAATGCTGTTAAAACCAAGAATTCATTTTTGTCCATTCATCTTTTGAAGGGCATCTCAGCTCTTTCCACAGTTTGGCTATTGTGGATATTGCTGCTATGAACATTGGGGTGCATGTGCCCCTTCTTTTCACTATACCTGTATCTTTGGAGTAAATACCCAGTAGTGCAGTTGCAGGGCCATAGGGTAGCTCTATTTTTAGTGTCTTCAGGAACCTCTATACTATTTTCCAGAGTGGCTGTACCAGCTTGCATTCCCACCATCAGTGTAAGAAAGGCTTCCCCTTTCTCCACATCCTCCCAACACTTGTTCTTTCCTGTCTTATTTATTTTTGCCATTCTAACTGGTGTTACAGTGGTATCTCATGGTTTTGATTTGTATTTCCCTGATGGCTAGTGATGTGTTACATATATACAATGGGATATTACTCAGCCATCAGAAAGGATGAATACCCACCATTTGCATATACATGGATGGAACTGGAGGGGATTATGCTAAGTGAAATAAGTCAAGCAGAGAAAGACAATTATCATATGGTTTCACTGATATGTGGAATATAAGGAATAGTGTAGAGGACCACAGGGGAAGGGAGGGAAAACTGAATGGGAAGAAATCAGAGAGGGAGACAAACCGTGAGACTCTGGACTCTGAGAAACACACTAACGGTTACAGAAGGGACGTGTGGGGATGGGGTAACTGAGTGATGGGTATTGGGATGGGCGTGTATTGTGATGGACACTGGGTGCAACTAATGAATGCTGAACACTACATCAAAAACTAGTGATTACTATGTGCTGGCTAACTGAACATAATGAAAAATATTAATTTTTGCTGTGTTCTCTGATAAGGAATTTACTAATAGGAAATATTTATTTCCTAATCTCTAAATTATGATACAGCAAAAACTTGTATTTGTTTTGTGTAATACTTCATTTTGTTCAGTACAATATTTCCATGTTTTACAAAAATTATTTTACATGCCATATAATATATAAAGAAAGCGAAGCTGAAGAAAATATACATTTGTTTGGCACTATATAAAGAACCACTGAATGAGAGAAAACATAACAAAGATTTCTGCCTGACCAATCCATTAGTTATCTCCACGATTTCTTGCCATTCTTAGACCCACATCACAAAGAATGAAATGGCTAATACTATTTAAGTGTGTACTTAGCACACTTACCATGTGCTAATGGCTTTAAACACTTTATTATATACATACTACTTCATTTTATCTTCATAACAAGTTGAATCAATGAATATTAATACCCCCACTTTGCAGTTGAGAAAACTGAAGCACAGACAGCTTAAGTCACTTGCACTCACTAGCCACACACAAGTGGGACTGAGATTTGAATAGAGGAAGTCTGAATGCAGAATCAATGTTCTTTCTCCTCTTCTACATTGAATATTTTAGCTAATCATTTCAAGGTAAGATAAACATGTAACAAACATCATTTAAGTACTATGTTATTGGGGAAAGCCATAATGTACATAAATCCTGCAACCATAAAATGCAATGCCACTGAAAATCAAGGTTTTCAGTGAAAATCTACTGAAGATTCCACACCGTAAACTATGAAGGATAGTAAGTAACACACTTTCTTATTATACATTCTTCTGTAAAACAACTCAAATTACTCAGTAACTATTACTTTATACACTAAAATTCTTCTCTGAATATTTGCCACTATATTTATCAACTTTAAAGCACACTTTTAAAAAGCTACTTTACAGAATGGTTTATAAGATTTATTATTAACATTTTAATAATATTCTTTTTAAAAATTTTTGTAAGACTAACAAATAAAAGTATATTATTAGAGTCTTATAATCTATTTAGGCAAACCAGTTATTAAATACATATTTAATAGATCACCAAAAATCACCAGTTCACTAGTACAAACGTGAATGGGCAAAATTTAAAAGATAGTTTAGCAATGAAAAAAAAAAAGTATGATGTATCTAAGGCATAGTTAACTCATACTAGAAGCAGTTTTTCTTATTCTGTAATCAGAGGATAATGCAAAAACCATCTGTGTAGCCAAACATATTGTAGCCATACCCCCTTCAGAGTCAGTTGAAGTTCAGGCAGGCATTTTGCTTTCATTGTCCTTGGAAGTCTAATTCTGTTGTCAACAAGCTCACATATCTGCAATACATCATACTGTTCGGTATGAGCTAATAAGGGTCTTTCAAAGTATTTATGATGTACAGGTAATGGAACAAGTGGAGGAAAAATTCTGTAAGAGACCTGAAACATAGGAGATGATTGATTTTTTTAGATAGATCATAAATAGGTTTTTCAGAAAGTTCAGTGAAATAATAAAGATGGGGGTACATATTGCATGATTCCATTAATGTGAAATGTCCAGAACAGGCAAATCCAGAGACACAGAAAACAGACTAGTGGCTGCCTAGGGCTGGTGCTGCAAGGAGAATGGGGCGTTGAGTGCTAATGGGTACAGGACTTTTTTTCTGGGTGAAGAAAATGTTCTAAAATTCGTGTGACAGCTACACAACTCTGTCAATATAATAAAATATACACTAAATTATACATTTTTAAAGGGTGAATTTTATGATATGTGAATTAGGTCTCAACAGTTTTTCTTAGAAAATGAAGACACAATCAGTCTGAATAAGGAGCAGAGAGGGACTACTACAAACATCCTTGGGGACTCACTCAGGATGGCCTAGAAGACTTGGGGACTCACTCAGGATGGCCTAGAAGACGTGCTATTTGGGACTGAATAGCCCCATCCTCAACCAGTAGGAGGAGCTGCTTTCCAGTTCAGCTTTCCATAAAAACTAGGGATTTTTTCCCCCCTAGGAAGGGAAAGAGGAGAGAACTAGGATGAATGCTTCACTTACGACAAAACCTGAACTAGCATAATAAATAATAAAATACTTATTAATTTCAACATCCTACTCTTCTGGTAGTTCAACATTATAATAAATATTAGCTGTTCAACTTGATTTTGCCCCTAAAACAATTTAGTTAAACTGAGTAATATCTACTTTTAAATTTTTTTATGTATTATTTCTCCTCTCACTTTACTACCCATTAAACATTTCATTTCATTCAATTCTCTAGTCTAGACAGATCATTTGTTTTATTATTTTTTTATCCTTTCTATATGTTGACTACTTTGTCATCAATTTCTCTTTTTTTTTAACTTTATTTTTTTAAGATTTTATTTATTTGACAGAGATCGCAAGTAGGCAGAGAAGCAGGCAGAGAGAGAGGAGGAAGCAGGCTCCCCACTGAGCAAAGAGCCCAATGCGGGGCTTGATTCCAGGACCCTGGGATCATGACCTGAGCTGAAGGCAGAGGCTCTAACCCACTGAGCCACCCAGACACCCCTGTCATCAATTTCTGATATAAATCCTCCTAAATCTAGACATATTTTCCTGTTTAATAAAACATAGCACCGTTCATGCCACAAAAAACAAACAAACAAACAAAACCCATTGTATTTGGCTATTTACTGAACATATATTTCTTTTAAAAAACATCATGCCAATGTTTTATGGTTTTGAATATGTCATGTGTTTGCTATTTACCAGTTGTTATTTAATTTCTAGTAATTACATGCATAATTTTTTTTAATGCAGGAGAGTTTCTGTATTCCTTTAATTAGAAGCCTAAAGGTTCACAGCCACCAATCTCCATTGTCACAAACCAATCTTAAAATATTGGTTGTGAAACATGGAACAATAGTGATAAAACACTTTGCCTTTGAACTTAGTATACAAAAGATAGCTTCTACAGTTTCTTTCTCCACTTGAAAGAATTTGTTATAAAATAAAATACCAAATTTTCTCTCACATTTACCTAGTGGAAAATTATAACCATTGATTTAAATCAAATTGCACTTTCCTAGGAATACTTTTACACTGCCAAAGGATTTAATAACCATTTTCCAGGATTATCATCCATAAGGAAGCTTGAGTTTTTTGCCTTTCTTGCCCCACTTGCCAACTGCATCAATGTAGTAACTGTCTACTAATGGGCAAGGCAGAGTTGCACTGTTTCTTCTATGTTGTGCATAATTCTCTTTCTTACATTTTAATCACTTTGATGGGTCAATAACATTTTATCTTATGAAGAATATGACATTCAGGGATTTCATTCAATCTCTTCAAGTCATGTATTAGGTTCTTGTTCATTTCTACCGTTGGATCAGTATAATGGACAGACTTTAAGGTGACCTCCTGCTATTCTTGCTTTTGTGTGCTACCCAGCTGTGAGTATGAGTGGGACTATGATTTGCTTATTCTAAAAAACAGAATATAGCACGGGTGATGGGATGTCCCTGATATGATTATGTCATACTATATAAGACTTCATCTCCCATATGACAGGGAATTGTGTGATCTCTAGGAACTGTGGACAATCCATAGGGCCTAAGGTGATCTATAGCCAAGAGCCAGTGAAAAGCCCAGGGCGTTCAGTTCTACACCCTTGAAGAAATGATGTCTTCGTACAACCTGAATGAAGCTGTAAGTGAACTCTTTCCAAGCCAAGCTCCAGATGATCGTGCAGCCACCTGACACTTACTTTGACTGCAGCCTTGAGACCCTGAGCAGAAGACCCTGTAAGTAGTACCTGGATTCCCAACCTAGGAGAACTGTGAGAAAATAAGTGGGTACTGTTGTAAGCCACTAAGTTTGTGGTATTTGTTATGCAGTGATAGAAAACTAATAAAATTGGTAATTAAATCTTTGAGTAGAGATTGTGTAAAGTCCTATTTGCAAATTTTACCAAGTGGTAATGTTTAATAAAAAGCTACTTGCATTATTTCTAGATTTTTAAAATTTAAATAGATCACCTCTCTGAAGACTTTCTATGGCTTTTTATTTTCTCTGGCAACTTATAATTACTATCAATATTAGTTAAATTAAAATGTTATATTTACTTTAGATTTTAAAAATTGAATCTAATATCTACATTTTAAAAATTTCATCATTCTAGCAT